TCATTACCAAGCCTTTGCACCATCTATCTGGCCCATCAAGTGTTGCTCGAGTTTCGTCTGTGAACAAAACTTTAGAGAAGTCAATCTTCATATTGTCCTCGTCCCATTTCAATCGATTTTGAATGTGATTTCTCGTCAACCGAAGCTTCGATACAGGTTTGACTGTTGTTGCTATTTCCCTCAGATACCGACACCGAGTACTTTTAGACACAGTAGGATCCTCAATGCGACTGAAAAGCTCTTGACTGTTAAGTCCAGGGTTCTTCGTGGCCTCTTGTTTAAGTCGTGACATGAGATGACGTGAAATAACCCTCCGCTTGCCCTTATCTTCCCTTTTGCGTACTTGTGTAGGGTCGGCAGTGAACTTTTTCACTGTTTGATGACACCTCCCTATCATTTTAGAAATTTCTAGGGTAGATTTACCTTTTGAGAGTTCTGAGTTGATAGTTTTCTTTTCAGCATCACTTAAAATGCTTTTACGGCCAATCTTTTCACTAAATTCTTACACTTTTCTAATAATTTGGCACGCTCAAATCACCGCACTGATAACAAATATGGCGCCAGTTTGTTTACATTGTGCAGATCAGTACGAAAATTTCAATGGTTGCGCAGGTCAGTGTTGCCAACATTGTGGGAAAATTTTGTGTAAATTGATTGGACGGTTTTTGAAATATTAGAAAAAAAGTTATCTAGATAATAATTTGGCACGCAGTATATATATGTATATATAATGTACGTATGTAAGCAAATATATGGATATAGATCCGACAGTATGAAGAAAAATATAGAGAAAAAACAAACAAAAATCTTAATATGCAATTATGCTGTATTAATGTTAATATAAAGTCAACGATGACTTTATATTAACATTAATACAGCATAATTGCATATTAAGATTTTTGTTTGTTTTTTCTGTATATTTTTCTTCATAATGTATGTATGTATGATTGTGTATATAATAGCTGACCACTCGCATTCGAGGATAACCGTCTATTAGGGAGGCTAGCCAATCCCTATTGGAGACACTCGCTAAGGCGCATTTGTGTTTTGTTCAACACGCGCATACCAACCTGTGGTTTAGACCTTATTTGCAGTTTCTGGGAGAGAGCGTCATCAAGAATCTGAACAAGGCCAGCCCACTCAAACCCTCGGTTATGGTGACTTGTGACTTCGTTCTAGCACAACTATTAACGGGTTCCGTTTACCCAATTTCACTCACAACCTGTGATATGGTTTTCAGGCACTTTCCAAAGGTGCCGCCTGTACGCTGGGATCACCCTTCAGACCGATAACATCAGAAATTCTCCTTCCTGACAAATCGACCATGGTGAGATTCGAACCTGGGTTAGAAAGTGAACGTTCTGACTAGTCACACACACAAATAATATATATATATATATATATATATAATATGAAATATTTGGAGCATTCCTCCGCCGTGCGCATATATGATCTGACCATGTTCTCAATATTTTTCTGATATAATCCTGAATGACCTCATAAGTACGTTATATATATATATATATATATATATATATATATATATATATATATTAACTAAAAACAGACCACTTTAATGTTCCATGTAATAAATTATTTCACCACAACCCTTTTAAAGGACTGCGGATCATCAGACTTTACTTCCAAACAAAAAAGGAAAAGAAAATTTACACATTTTTCACAGACCGTATTAAACATATGTAAATTAACGAAGTTAGGAAGTGAGGTGGGAGAGAGAAGACATGAGTGAGTTAGCAGATATTGACGCATTTAAACAGTATATATATATATATATATATATATATATATATATAAATGCAGATAACTTTAGTTTGGTCATGTACATCTTGCACGCCCTTGCGATATTTGTTTCATGCAGGTGATTAAAGGGAGCTTTTTTTATTTCCATTGGTTTTTCACCTTTCCCCCCCTAATACATATGTTTCTCTTATAAAACCCATTTGGTAGGGTGTGTCCCTATTCATTTTTTTCATCAGCATTGTTGTACAGAACGTTGTCATACCCCCCCCATTCACTCATCATATAGATTCATGTTGAAGTATTTATTTAATATTTTCTTAATAGTATGTAACTCATAAGTACTTGCAGAAATATCGTGTACACCTTATGTACGTGCTTATCTATCATATTGGATCTAATTAGTTTTTCAACTTTCATGTCAGTTGTAGGTCGGTGGCCGAGTGTCATGTCTGGTGCAAGTCGGTAACCGAGTGTCATACCCAGTGCAAGTCGGTGACCGAGTGTCATGTCTGGTTCAAGTCGGTGACCGAGTGTCATGTCTAGTTCAAATCGGTGGCCGAGTGTCATGCCCAGTGCCAGTCGGTGGCCGAGTGTCGTGCCCAGTGCAAGTCGGTGGCCGAGTGTCGTGCCCAGTGCAAGTCGGTGGCCGAGTGTCGTGCCCATGCAAGTGGTGGTCGGTGGCCAGTGTCGTGGCCGAGTGTCGTGCCCAGTGCAAGTCGGTGGCCGAGTGTCGTGCCCAGTGCAAGTCGGTGGCCGAGTGTCGTGCCCAGTGCAAGTCGGTGGCCGAGTGTCGTGCCCAGTGCAAGTCGGTGGCCGAGTGTCGTTCCCCGTGCAAGTCGGTGGCCAACTCTCATGTCTCGTTTAAGTACGTCCTTAAATATTAATCATATATTTGTTTTAACCTCGTAAGTCCCTTGGGAAATGATAGAAATCCAAATATTAATATTGTCATCATTCTTAATTATAAGGTAATTTTCTTGGCTCTCTGACAGAAATTCTCTTCATTCTTTTATTCATTCGAATACTTTTGGTTTTCACATAAAAGAAATATTTGGGTTGTATCACGGTACCATTTTTATAAGAGATATCTTGGATTTTTCTATTACCTGCAGGGAGGGAGATTTCATGGCTCTCCGCAACGTCTTATCCTTTTTATTTTCACATTATGTTTTTTTTTAACTATCCCTCCTACCCATCATCTTTTCCTATTCTTACGCTCATACAGCGCTACACATTAACACTCTACCTTTAGTGGCTTTCAGGCCCTCTATTGTGTGAACATTAATATCACAACAATCCTTTCTAATATGATATCGTGCTTAATTCATTTATTGTGAGTTTTTGAGAAAATCTATATAATAAATTCGAAAATACCTGTGTGTCTGTCACACCTTTTCAGTTAAAGGGACACAACCCTCTAATTTCAAAACAATGAGCTCCTGTTGACCTAAAACAAACAGCAAGTGTATCAGAATAACAATGGATGGATTTTCTTTTTGTATGCACCTGGAGGTATGGTAAACCTTTTGTAACTAACTTTCTTTTATCTGCATTGAGACTCAAAAAAAGTAGCTGTAGCAGTAGAATCATCTGGAATTGCTGCTACTCCTCTTGCCTGGAGGCCGTACAGCATTTTCAAACATTCATTGTAGGAGGAGTCAAGCTTCATTGTCTGGGATGAATGTACCATAGCAGAAAATCGAGCATTTGAAGCCCAGGACAAAACACTCAAAGACATTAGACAGAATTCAAAAATCATGGGAGGTATCACTGTGCTACTCTCTGGTGATTATAGACAAACATTACCAGTCATTGCCAGAGGAACTCCAGCTGAGGAAATCAATGAAAAATTCTTACATCTGAAGTCATGTTCAAAGACTCAGCTTGAAAACAAACACGAGTTAGAATCACAGGCGAACTTGAAGCAGGAAGACTGTTGCTTTGCTGTTGCCATTTTGCATTAGAACAATCAAAATGGACCAATATGGAAATATCTAATTCCCAAATGATTCCTAAATTTCAGTCTCGAGTCTCAAAGACTTGATTAAACCTGTTTATCCAAACATTAAACACAATTTCATGGATTCAAACTGGCTTTGTTAGATTGCCATATTAGCTCTCAAAAATCAAACTGTGAATTACATCAGCTGGAAACTTCTCCAAGAAATTCCCCCCAAAAAAACATGAATTGCTTTTCATTTGACACTGGATGAACAAGCGCAAGTAGTGATCTATCCAATAGAGTTCCTGAACTCATTGAATCTTCTTAGGATGCCATCACACAAGTTGGAACTAAAATAAAATATGCCTGTTATGCTATTGAGAAATCTGGATCCTCCAGAGCTTTGTAATGGAACAAGGTTAATTTTCAAGAAGATGCTCCCTCTCTCCTGGAATCAGATCTTTACTGTTCCAGGGAAGGGATAGAGAGTTTTAATTCCAAAAATACCCCTTAATTCCTCCAGATCTTTCTTTTGAGTTCAAAAGACTTCAGTTTCCATTGAGAGTGAGCTATGCAATATCAATCAATAAGTCCCAAGTCCAATCATTGAAAGTAACTGAACTTCATCTGATGGAACCCTGCTTTTCTCACGGCCAGCTCTTTGTTGGTTTTTAAAGAAAAATGAAGTGTTATTGTTGGACCGAAGGCCCAATTAAGATCCCCCCCCGCAAGATCTAGCTTAAATGCCGCCCGATACGGCGGCTTTTAAGCTAGTTGATAATCTATAAATCCAGTTTAGGTTCTATTAAAATTCTTAAAATTGCTTTCAAATATAATAAAAATTGTCGGAGGGTATATACAGTAATAGCTCTGTCTTTTGATACACCATTTTCTTAGGTGGGGGTTTACAGAAGCAGCTTCATTGTTTTGTTTTTTTTTTTTTTTTTTTTTTTTTTTTTTGTTTTTTTTTTGGTTTTTTTGAGAATGTTAAACTTTGCCGTATCCTGTGTTCACGCTTTACGTATAGTTTTTGATTATATCATTATTAGTTGGGAAATATGTTTAGAATATATGTTCTTAAATTGAATGACATTTTATTGATGTGGTGTTGCTTTTTCTGGTTATGGCCTTTAATGTGTGTATGAGCCTCGTCAGACGTCGTCTCTAGTATGTGTGCCACGTATGGCGTCCATCTTGTTCAGTTTGACTGATGAATTGTTTTTTGCTTCCTTTTTTATACGACTTACCAACCCTTTGTGGCTTATTTAATGCCGTAACCGGTTTGTTGGAAGCTGTTTACAGCACCCGATGTTTTTAATGTGGTCCCCCGTTTTAGTACTTACCGGGCCCGACGCTGCTTAACTTCGGTGATGGAACGAGAACTGTTGTTTTCAGCATGATTTTACCATAATCACCTTGTTCAGAAATGTCTAAACTGTCGACATCAAACCGTTTAATGACAGGAAATGACATCAAACGAATGAATCCTTCATGTCTTAGAGAAAACAACCCTTCATCAGACCCTATTTTGAAAACTTATTTCAAAACTTGCTTAAATAGCATGCACACCGTAAATACATGCTCATTACAAAGATCTTGCCTAAATAACAAAAAAACGCATCACTTGGAGACTTCCAACAATAAAAAACGGGTACTAAATAATAAGCGGGTAATAAATAATAAGCGGGAAATAAATAATAAATATAACTGGAAGAGAAAATGTCATAATCAAGATGTCGACATTCTACTCTACCTTAAACAAAAGATCTGGAAGGAAATGAGCTTGAGTATTAAAATGATTGATAATATGGAATAAACTTATGAAGTTTAATTTTGTGAGAAAACCTACAAGAAAATGTCTGTATAAATCTCAATCAACAGAAACACTGTTTGCTCAATGACTAGCGAATGCTTCCTGTATAAGAATGGCTATTCTCACGGTTATGTTGCTACGTACAAGCGTATGTATGTAAAGATTTTTTTCTAAACGACTTCCTAATATGTTTGCCCTAAAATTATTGTTTGGTATTTGATTTTTTTTTTTTTTCAGATAATATTGATTTATTAGATAGTCATTTCCCAGCGACAGGACCCCTTCCTATATTCTAATTATTGTTATTCGCCTCATTTTCAACTTCATAAATGTATATATTGATTTACTTGGACAATTTTTTTTTTTTTTTTTTTTTTTTGTACGTTTGCATAAACATATTTTTGGAGTGATGTTACGTCGGAAATTCTTTCCGACCATTGCAATTCTTGTGATTTCGCCCTTACTTGGAGTACTGGGTGTGGCGGGGGTTTGTTTCTGCTTTTGTACTGAAACAAATCAGTAGTCATTGAAAATACTTATTTTCTCTCTTAGTGCCAGCAGCTTTTTTTTTATCATTTATTTTTGTGCCCAAGGAAATATCAAGTATTCCAACGTTGGATTTCAAGGCAGAAAATATTTATTTCCTAATTTTTTTTTTTTTTTTTTTTTTTTTTGCTTCTGTTTATTTATTTTTGTTTTGTCTTGTTTCCACGTTTCTGACATGTGCCTTCAAGCACTTTTCTTTTTTCTTTTTCTTTTTTTTTTTTTCGATTTCTATTCTGTTCCGTAATCTTGACGAATCTCACTTGGTGGTCGCGTGCGATTTTGCCACGCTCACGCATCCCCGCACACGTTAGGTCCAGTTTTTGCGTCCGTGAATTCTAGAGATGGTCTTCCAGCGACCACTGCACTTACCGCTTCTTGAGCTTAGTAACCGCTCCTATTTATTTTAATTATTTCACCCCAAGCAAGAGAACAAAGCTACTACGACACAAGAAGTTACCGAGCGTGAAATAATAAGAAAAAGAAAAACATTATTAGGGAGAGTTTTTCAATTTTTAATTAGCTTCTGAAAAATTCACTTTTAAATAACTCATTATTTTTTAATTATTTGCCGGGTTTAAACGTAACAAAAACACGTTAATGCATACAAACGATCTGCCTAAAACATACTCAGATCATTTACACTATTTAGATTGTTCAGACTATTGTCCTCATCTTTGTCATATTCACGAAGTTTGTGAGATCAATTCCTGGCCACAGCAGAGCTGAACAAAAACTTGCAGAGTTGAGTTACTAAAGAGAAATAACAGAAACTGAGATATCCGAAAGAGGCATGACACGTGGAACTAGAACAATCTACCCCGGTGGACGACATAAGTGTTAAGAACTAAAGTGTTTGGTTGTAAATTCCAAATTATATCACCTGAAGAAGGCTGCAGCTTAGAACGACTGAAACGTTGTGAATATGACAATAAAGATGAGGACAGTTTTCCTACTCCGAACAATGTAAATAGTTACAATACCTCATTTCAGAAATATAAACAGATATACTCAGATCATTGGTAAATATCTAAGCAGATGATACAACTCTATGGGTGCCCTCCAAAAACCTAGATGACAGAAACCTGGCGGCTGATCTCTCCTCTGACCGAACATTAAGGGCTCAATGAGCGGGGAGTAATACTTCGAAAACCAAGCTAGTAGTGTTTCATCACCACAGAGCAGACCATCAATGTCCCCTGTCATGATGGACGGCTGCCTGTTACTACTATTGGGACTCAAGCTCACACCAGACCTCACATGGAACATATACACGATCCCTCGCTAAAGATGCTGGTAAAATGGTCGATTCCATGTACTTTTCCAAAAAAGTATCTGACTCCTCCTGCTATCCTCTGTGTTTACAAGAGATAGAAAAAATCCAAAATGGAGTACTGTATATCTAGGCTGCAGCTTGCCCAATACTGACTTTCTAGATTTTATAGTTCAAAAGCATGTACGTGACATTGTGGGTGATTATTTTTTCCCTCTACAACCACTTTCCCTGCAGACAAAATGTCGCAAGCCTCGCTGTTTCCATTGTAAATGTTCTGACGAACGACATTCATTGGCTCCACCAGTTCAAACGTTCACAGCTAAGACCTGTCGTTCCGCATACACAGGGATGAAACATCCCCATTGCCTTTGTATTGCATTAGTAAGATTGAAGTTCAAATTCGGACAGATTTTCCCCAAGAAGACCAACTTACCTCTACAGGAAATATTTTTCATGCGGACAGAGAAATATGTTCGGAAATACGCAACTTAGAAAAAGGATAACAAAAATATGTCTTCTTACCAGATCTAACTAATCTATACAGCGAGATGATCCTTATAAATCTAGAAGATCTGTTAGGATTTATTATAGGCATATATAATAGTAACAACATAAGATACGCACATGATACTGTGATGAAAGCAGATTCAGAAAAAAGCTGGGATGAATATTAGAAAAAGTAGTAGAGGAAAGCAAGAACAAAGGACTAAGTATTAACTGTAAGAAGGCGGACTACATGGTTACCAGTAAAAGAAACAAGCCAAGCTGTGAACTGAGGACGTCAAAATCAACCAGCTGCAGAAATTATGCGGGTAGCTGATTAAGAAACAACTGGAAGCGGCAGATATACGCTAGCCACCGACGAATGCCGAGAATGACGTAAATGGAATACCTGAGTAACGATTTACACTATTTAAATTGTTCGAACCGCTGTCTTCAACTTTAACTGTCACATTCACGACGTTTCGATAGTTGTACGCTCCGGCTTTCTTCAGGTGATATTTTTTTGAATTTCGAACCGAACCCTTTATTTAGTCCACGAGGGTAGATTGTTCTATTTTCACGTACTATAACTTTGGATATATCAGTTTTTCCGTCCTGGGTATGAGGATAAACTACATCCGCGTTCTGGGTAAGACGATAAACTATGTCCAACAGCAAGGCCTCTGATCAGGAGGTTTTGAGGAGCGTGGGACCACCTCTTAATTGCTGGTGTTCCCAGGTCCACCCTGATCCGGGGTGGTAGCACCTGTTAGGGTCCCAGCTATTGGCAAATAGTTAACCTCCAAACTGGGGTCACAACACTATGAAAGTGTAAAAATAGATTTTAATACCTGAAATACTTTGTAAAAAACGTTATTACCAGCAATAAGTTTTTGAAGAAAAAATTATTACCAGCAATACATTTTTGAAAAGATATTACAAGCGATATATTTTTGAAGAAAAATATTTTACAAGCAAAGCATTTAAAAAAAAATATATTACCAGCAATAAAAATCTTTTCGGCATTAAATAACCCATTGTGGTTGATATGCCGTAAAACAAAACAAATAAACACTTGATATATCAGTTTTTTTACTTAGTTCACCTTGATAGCTCTCCAGGATTTTGTTCTCTCCGCTGACGCCAAGGATTGAACTCGCAACTCTTTGGGCCAAGTGCCTTTTCGGAATAATCAACCAACAAATTTATCCACTAGGCCATGTATCCTAGGATACGAGACAAAAAGGACGTGAATATTACCAGGCACTTATGACTGCTGGACCGATCATTGGCTTTTGATCTCTCGTCTCAGTTTTTCAACCCGTCCACCCCTTCGGCATCCCAATACTCCAAAACTCCAACGGAGATACGACAGTCACAAACTTAAGAATCCAGGAACATCCTAAGCTTTCCAAGAAATAGTTGACTAATATCTGAATAATTGGAACATTCTGTGTGAAGCTATAATATCTGCTGCAGGCGAGATGACCTGTAAAATTATGGATGTCCCTTCTTCTATTCTAGGAATTCATGAAAGCCATCAAATAAATGTAACCTGGAAGAACTGCCGGTCCAAACAATATCCCCTGGACCTCTTCACACATGGAGGATACAGCTTGAGAAACGTCCTGGGTTGACGATAAAATACATCCGGTAGCAAGGCCTCTCATCGGAAGAGTGGAGGTTTTGAGGAGCGTGGAACCACCTCTTAATTGCTGTTGTTTTCAGGTCCACTTTGACCCGGGCTCGTAACTCCTGTTAAGGGACCAGCTATGGGCAAATAGTTAACCCCCAAACAGAGGTCAAAACACTATGAAAGTATAAAAATTTAAGTAAGACGGTAAACTATGGGCAAATAGTTAACCCCAAACTGGGGGTTAAATTTGTTGGAATGGTTTCTAGGCACCGTTGGAAGATACCTAGAAACCATTCCACGTGTTGACCAGTCATTGTGAGTGAACATTTAGTAGACGGAATTGTTCGTAGATTCTTTTGCTAGCATGAAGTCACAACTAATCGTTACCGAGTGTTTGAACGTACTGGGTCTTGTTCATATTATTGATCACACAAAATAATTCACTCACTCACTCAAAAATTGTAACAAAAGTGCGCTCAACATAGTTGCAGTATGAACCACAGGTGGCTTCTGTGGAAGTTGAACAAAATACCAGAGAAAGCATCTGCATAAGGAATTGGCGAACCACTCTAAGAGACTGACCCCATTGTTTCCGAGTATACCTCTCATATATATATATATATATATATATATATGTATATACTCATTAGTTTTGTTT